CCAGTGCAAATGTTTGTGGAAAGCCAATTTCACATTCTCTTTTCACACGTTCTCAAGCACCTTCAGCAAGCTTAAAACTAATTTTCCATAGATATTTAAGCAATTAAATCTAACCAGTTTAAACAAGCTGATGGATGTCTGAAAGAGGCATGAATGAATCGAAGCCTTTTAGAAAGTCAAGAATCTTTGCAGATGGTTGCTGGTCATATTCAGCCATCTCTAATAATTATTCTTGATGTCTTTGCATAGTAGACCTCCACAGCAATCATCAGAAGGAAAGGAAGTCCTGGCATGCTGTGGAATTACTCACATAGTCCCCATTCAGCACAGTAGCAGTATACGTCAATCATAATTATACATTCATACTCACATTACTGGTGAAACAGAGAAGTATTATTCCTATTTCACAGATGGGGAAACTAAGGCACAGTCTACACTGTGGACTCTACACCTGTTCAGCTGCACTGTTGTGCCATAACCCTCCTATTGTGTATACTGAAACCCCCCTAAAGCATGTTTCAGAACAGGCAGATGTTAAGCTAGCTAGCATGCCTGAGGGTTGAGTGTAAATACAGGTTAGTTGCAGAATGGCCCCCTTCGGAGTTCATTCTGTCATACAGAGGCAGTTAAGGAGCAGGTACCAGGTCTTGAGTTTTCATAATCTTCCATCCATATTGCCATAATACAATGGAACCTTTTCTACTCTTACACAGTCTACAAGGGTCCCTTTCCCTTTGCACGTTCCATGAATTCCATGGTGCACTGACCACATCCAATCACCTTTCTGCTGCCCTCTGTAAAAGTTCAATAAGAGTAAAAATGGATACACAACCAACAGTAGTAGCCCACCAGTCATGCTTCTGGGTGAAGTACACAGTCCTCCATGGTTTTGGCCAAAGTGGAGGGAACATACTCCTCTCTTGGGAAATGTCACAGAAGCTGGAAGAATTGGGCTTCTGGCCTCCATTTTAGTGCAGAGAATGGATGAAACTCTTGAAATGGCTATACAGGAAGGCCAGAGATGCTAATTTGAACTCTTATCAGGTGACTGATGGAGGCTAGGGTACTGCTGACATCACTTAAATTCTCCTGCATCACATAAAGAATAAACAAGCCATGTTGATTCCAACATCCAATGTGGATGAGGGAGATATAGGAATCATCTGCAGCATGTGCTAGACAGGAAAATAAAATCTTATGAGGGAAGAATGTTTTATTCTCGTATTCCTAAGGGCTATTACAAATAATGGAGGGTAAGAAAAAGAAATTAAAATCCATAAAAAGCACTTGACAGCGTCCCTTTGTAACATCACCATTGATTTCTGAGAACCCGGCCCATGTTCATTAAGCTCGGAGAATTATAGCCACCCAATTTGGACCATGGCAATGTTCTCTCTTAAACAGACTTGTGATATATAATTTGGCTTCAGTTACCGGAATAGTGAGTGATTTCCTTTTCATGGTAGCTCCAATTTCACATATTAAAATTATATAGCTCTAGAGTGATGAATAATCCTCACTCCAAGAACTCTTTCTTATGAGCACTGAAATACTATGTCAGCATATAAGTCACATCTTCCCAATGGCTTTTTGATTCAGGTCATTTTCCTTTCCTTGTTTTCTACTTTTTCCTTCAGTTTTATTTTCCAACTCTCATCCCATGCTATGCCCTTCCATGCAGATGGATCCATTGTCCAATATTTCTTATTGACAGGAGAGATGCAAGCTGGGCCAATTTTCCTACAGCTGGAAAATTTCATTATTCTCATGAATTTGCTTTTAAAGCTGACATTTTAGACTACTGGGTACCAAGATGCATGTTGTGTCTCTGCAAATGGATTTGTATTCTTTTATTTTGACTGATATGCAGAACAAATCCATATATATTCAAATGTGTTAGAATATCATTGACAGGAGAGATGCAAGCTGGGCCAATTTTCCTACAGCTGGAAAATTTCATTATTCTCATGAATTTGCTTTTAAAGCTGACATTTTAGACTACTGGGTACCAAGATGCATGTTGTGTCTCTGCAAATGGATTTGTATTCTTTTATTTTGACTGATATGCAGAACAAATCCATATATATTCAAATGTGTTAGAATATCTCCATAATTCCCAATAGAGGTCTGTCATGGCTCCCTTCCCCAACCTTACACACTGCATGCAGAGATAGGGGTCTGGCTAGCAGAATAAACACTGCAAAACCTGTCTCTGATTCCCAGAGACTAACTTCTTCAATCTCAGTCTCCCTGAGATCCAAAAAAGACAAGATTGTTTCCACACTGCCACCACCCAAGTGATTATAAGAAAATATAAAAATAAACTTTTCCAGGGAGAGAACATTTGGGAATCTACTCCCCTAAATTAGAGATCTCCCAACTGCTCCCACCCTCTCTTTTGCTTGGAGTTGGGAAAACAGACAGAGGGAATCCACAGACAACAATGGACTCTACTTTTGTAACAAGGCACTTAATCCTAAGGACACAAAAATCAACCAATACCAATTAATTAGAATAAAAAGAAAACTTTTATTATCAAAACAAAACTCCTGTTGCAAGCATAGTAAATTGGCTAGGTGGCAAACAGCCACAGCTGACACACTCAGGAAGTCCCTGGGCTGTAATCCTTAGTACAAAAGAGGAAGACAAAATTAGCCAGATCATACATGATTTCCAAACCTGGAAAACAAACCCTGATGGACTATCTAAACTTATCCCTACTTACACATTTCAAGAAGTCCGTTCTTGGAGAGAGTTTCTCCTTCAATACCTGGGAGAAACTGCTCTGATCTCAAAGAAGAGAGAGAGAAAAACCCCTCTGTTCCAGTTTGAAATTCCTATCTGCATTGTTACTGGCTGATTGCCCAACCCCTTTTCCCCCACCGACATCTTTGCTAGGTACCTGAGTTAACCCCTTAGTCATCTGGTGCTGGTCAGCACTCCTTCTGATCATGCCAAGGGCCCTTCCTGATACTGTCCTTGACCTCCTGTGTGACCTTCCACAAAGCTCTTCATCTCTCTATTTCTGTTTCCCCACTTCTAAAATGGGGAGAGCGTTATTTATCTTCTATTGTAAAGTGATTTGGATTTTACAAGACAGAAAAGATAAAATAAAGCTTTACATGCCAGCAAGGTTAACTCATCTTTCAAAATGGCACCAGACCTTGCTATAGCAGATGCAAAACCTGCAGACATAGCTCTACTGTTACAATCAATACTCGCCATACAACGCCTTTCAGGACTCATGGATCCTAGACAGATGACTATTACAACATGTGGTATACTCATTTTGTTGCTTAACTGCCCCAAAAATGGATATGTAGGTGAAACCAGACAATCTCCATGCTCTTGAATGAACTCTTACTGAAAAAATAAGACAAAAACACACCACATTGCCTGTAGCTGAACACTTTTCACAAAAAAGTAATTGTTTCATATCTGACCTTTCTGTCCTCAGCCTCAAAGGAATCCTGCACAGTGTCTTCAAACCATGATCCTAGAAGCTTAAATATGAAACTTTGCTAGGACACTACAAACCTTGGTCTTAAAGATCCTAGATTTGTGGCTTATTACAGCAATTTGTTACACACTAACCTCCCCTTTCTCTCCCCATTTTCTGTCCTGTAATTGCAGAGGTTCTAACAGACCTCTTCACCTTGATCAGTCCCTGAGAATGTGTTAACCACCTATACTAAGTCTATTCTACCTTGTATTTAGCTGTGACACGGAGTATCTTTCCTAGATATGAAAAATCTTGTCTCCCCAGTGGAATTTGGTCTAATAAAAGAAGTTACCTTGTATCTTGGGACCAACATGGCTGCAAACAATTACCCTTCCAAGACAGGCAACTTTTTTAATACCACACTATTCTTTTAAGAGACCCAAGGTCTGATCCTGCTTTCATGAAAATGAATCAAAGCAGGGGTAAGTTCTTCATAACTATGTCCCTATTAGCCCTCTATAGATATTATGCAGCAATGACACCTTCATACTAAAATGTTCTGCTGGCCTTGTATAGCCAGAGTCACATCCACTGATTCTAGTATAAAACATATTACCTTTTAAGCCCTACAGAGCCCACACAGCTACAGAAGAGGGAACTAGATTCCACTCCAGCTCATGCCTCCTTTCAAGAAGTGTTTATGAAACTCCTTTTCTGGAGCCTTGTTTCTGGTGATGATTTCTGACCCAGAGAGAACCCAGCTGGTCAATCAGATCCCAGAATGATGTTTCAGTGCTGGCTTTTAGAATACTGCAGAGTAACATGCAATCTGAGCA